TGGGGGCCCGCCTGTATTCAACATCCCCAAGAAACCTCATGAACATGCCAACTTACGATCTGTGGTCAGAAACTTAGGAAGTCGAAAGAGCCCCTTTGCCAGTTAGTAAATTGTATTGCCTTTTAGTGAAATGATCAGTAGTAGAGGGGCACCCTCTTTATGCACTTTTAAGAAATCACAGAATCGGACTAAGGCGGTTTATTGCGCTCCTGTCATGCCTCTGTCGGTCGGCCGGTGACAGTACATTCGTATTGTGATGGGGGTTAGACCCGCATGAGGCATAGATCTGCCCATCCTCCAGCAATTTTGTGCCTTCTGAAGGTCGTCTGTGCTGTTCAATAACAAAGGAGCCCTCAACATGCGAAAGCTTCGGTACACTCATTGTTCCTCTGACGCCAGGACTAGTACTCAGCAGGACTTGGCCGGAAAAATATGTCAGAATGTTTGCTGTGGGCCAAAGTATTGCAGAGTCCACGAAGCAAGAGTTCAGCCGATCAGCGCACATTATCATTGTGGCGGAAAACACATTCCGCTACCCCCAGAAGTGATATGTTCGTAGGGCATTTACTTTTATTGGCCTCTCGCACAATAACATGACTTCCGGCTGCTAACTTCTGCTGCAATAAGACCAGTTTATGGTTACTGGCAGACGTTTCCGTATGTACTTTGTGCTGGCACAAGGAAGGCGAATAAACCGGGAGCGTCGGTTGCGGCTTCTCAGTCTTTGTTACTGACTGTCACGTCTGACAAGTGAATGCATCAAGTCGGTAGTTCTTTAAGGTTGACAGCCACGAACTCAACTCTCGCCATGGAACTTGTTTTCGTTCTCTTACCATTTAGTTTATATGGAAGCAGAGTGTAAGTTTTGCTGCAGAATACTTTGCGAGCCTACTACCGTTGATCTCTTCGTCGCCTGTACGAAGGTCAAACTTTGGGTTTTTGCAGTCTGATATTTGAAAATTTGGACCGTAAATTATGCTAAAAGAGATAGTAACAGTTATTCCTGTCTCTGTTTAGTCTTTGTGCAAAACGACCCTTCACGAAGGACAGTAGTAAGTATACCCGAAACAGCGCTCCAGTGACAGTAGCAGAAGGTGAAATAGCGGAGTAATTATCCTATCGAGGTGTGTTAAGGCCAGCAAAGTCAAACCCTAACGGCTGCGATCTCTCAGGCCCAGTTCCTTAGAAAACAGTAGAATTCAGTAGAAGGCCAGAGTGGTAGGAAGGGTGTTGTATAGAAGGAGGGGGAAAATAGGCAGCAGGAAAGTGAATGTCAGACAACCGCACAACCGGAAACCAGCGGACGGTGTCTGAAGTGATGTCTGCTCGGCAGTCGTCACACGAGGTCCTCTGTGAGTCGCTCTGTGATTGGCTGTTACAGAGGTCGGAAACAGCGATCATTCCCAAAATGCACTTCGACTTGAGCCAGTCACGACAAGCGTTCAAAAGTACTCTTCGTATGGAACTAGTCACTGCAATCCTACCAATAATTAACAACGGTGTTGAAATTCAGAAGAGGAAGAAGATGCGATCGCTAGAGCGGTTCGGATTCTCACTCGAGCGCATCATCAGAAGCCGTCGCAGATGAGGATATTGGAGGCACATGAACTACAGTATGTGAATTAGGCAGTTGCTTGGCGACCACATGCGTAAAAATGACGCTAGGCTATGGCTCATTCGACGGGAACTGACCATATTTTACAGTTTCACGGAGCCGAAATCCCGGCAAGAGGTGACCACCGCGTAAGCCGTGAGCTGCTCGAGTCATGGCTCCCGGTCCCTTAACAAGTGTACCGACCTCCCGTTGTCATATTTTGCACTAAGACATTTTCTGAGTAAGGGAATCAGCGACGTGAGGAGGGCACGGGTGACCGACGCTTCTAATTGTCGTGTAATTATCACACAAACATCCAACAAGAATGATGATATCACGAACTGCTGAGCCGTCATTGCATCAATTAAGATCCCCCGGCGGTGGGTTCGAGAACTGCTAATTATAGTGCGTTTATGGTGGCATGACAACGCCGTTCTATAAATACTACATTCCTTGGTCCTCCACTGCCTTTATCTGAGACGGTCTCTGATACTTGGTTTGGATGTGAATCCGAAAAGTCGAGCCAATAAATATTCTGTTCCAGCGACCGCACCTTCTTCCTCTGAACTGCATCCTGGAACTCGCTTTTTGCTTCAATCAGTTTTGAAACTGTGACAATAAACAACTCGAATACGGGTGAAAATCGATAATTGCATCAGGCATGACTGTTGACGATGACTGCGGGGGTCACGAGTTATCATAGACATCGAAAGAAGATGCGATTGGCGGGACAGGATGTTTATTGACCCGACGTTTCGGATTCAAACACAAACCCATCATCAGATAAAGTCGCAGATAAGGTACGTGACTACATAGAAACCGCCAACTATAAATGCTGAACTCCTTGCGCTGCTACTAGTCTTATCTGAGACTGCTTCGGATGATGCATTCGAGCGAGAAACAGAGACGTTAGGCGAACAAAATTCAAGGCCAAACGGACACACTTCCTTTAAACCTGGGGGTGGGAGTGGGAACAACACCAAATTATGCGACAGGATTCGACTTTTGCGCCTTCTCCATCAGACGATCTATTTCGTCACTAGCTCTCACTACCTTGGACAATGGCTCTCGCCAATAGGGTGGATGTAGACTCAGCTAGGTGCCTTGAAGATGAATGCTGCAGCATTGTTTGACTTTTTGTGGCTATGATAAAAAGCTTTGACGTTTAAGCCTATTCTTAAAGAAGTCTCCCTAGGATAACAGTAACATACAACTATCTGAATTCGGATTAAGAGGCATGAGTGCCAGAAGCATCCTCGATTTTCCTGATCGAGATTAGATTTCCTTTCAGCCAGTACAACCAATTCTCTCGACTTAATCTTGTCCCTAGAAGTCGACTGCATTCCCCCCTGATCACCGTTGTCATATTTTGGCGTAAGGCAGTGGTGGCCCTCATTGAAGAAAGGATGTGCGAACTGCTCTACACGTGTAGGCGAGAGAAAAATGGTCTTGGACACCGATTGTTTATGTTGTGTGGCCTGTCTGACCCCTGCCCGCATAACGGTGGTCTTTCATCATCCAATGCGGGGGTGGTTTAACTCCAGGCACTGGACACAGCTCACATCACGAGACGACGCATGTAGCTTTTTCTGTCACCCCAAAGCGACCCTAAACATCATTGAATTTGAGGCCTTTAGTCGAAGTGGGCCTCCTGTGAATGTGTGTAGATTTGCGCCTAGCCTGCTGGTGAGCGGGCTTGCAACCGCGGGACTAAGTTGATAATTACCACATCCTAAGTTCAATTATTTCGTCATTGCGCTAACAAATACGCATACACACGCACGCGTCAGCATGCCGCACGTTCAGAAGGCCAGCCTTGCAACGACAATGGCCTAAGCGCCAATCAGATTAATGAACCAGCGCACAGTCGACAGCTGATTGGCACTCTGCATTGGCGCGATTGCTATTTCAACGAGTGCTGCGGCACTGCTTCCAGAGTTTTCTGGCTGTGACGCTGTTCGCGCCTGCTTTATTTATTGGTGAGTCTCCCGACTTGTATTTCCAGCTTCCGCTTTTCATCCTTCTGGTTCATAACTGTCGATTAACGACCTGACTGTCGGCCGCATCCAAAATAGGCATGATTCTTGATACAC